ATAGATACATAGACACATAGACACAGATAGACACATAGATAGATATAGATACGTAGATAGTTACATAGATACATACATAGATACATAGATAGATACATAGATAGATCAATACATAGATACATAGATAGATAGACACGTGGATAGATAGATACCTAGTTACATAGATAGATAGATACATAGATACATAGATAGACACATAGATGAATAGATAGATAGATAGATAGATAGATAGATAGTAGAGATGGGGTTTCACCATATTGGCCAGGCTGGTCTCGAACTCCTGACCTCAGGTGATCCTCCTGCCTCGGCCTCCCAATGTGCTGGGATTACCGACATCAGTCCCCACATCCAGCCCTGCGTGTAAGTTCTGCGTCTGAGCTTTATATCTTCCTGTCTCCTCCCTCCCATTCCTTTCCCTGAGCAAACAGACGCACAGTTGTTTTCAGCAAAGAGGAAACTTGAGGTCAGGAAAACAGAAAGTCCCTGCTCAGCCCACGCCCCTCATTCGAAAGACAGAACCGGGGATTCCCAACAAGCGAAATGCCAAGGAGATGCCACAGGGAAGCCTGAGTCTGTCTAAGCAGGGACGTTCTCTGGGGCACGTTTCCATCAGACAAAACATGTCCCCGTCCCCATGTTCCCAGACCAGGACAGACACCGACTGGAAGTGGCTGAGAGGTCCCGGAATGAATGTCAGAGCTCAGTGCTACTAACATGTCACTCAGGGAGGGCCACGTTCTGTGCCGGTGCAGGAATCACGGAACCACGGTTTCTGGAAAGGCAGGGAAGTATACACAAAGAAACAATGTCAAGCAAAACCAGGAAAAATGCAACTGGGTTAGTTTCTTTTTCTTTTTTTTTTTTTTTTTTCTTATTTGAGACAAAGTCAGTCTGTTGCTCAGGCTGCAGTGAAGAATCTCAGCTCACTGCAACCCTCACCTCCCTGGTTCAAGCCATTCTCCTGAGTAGCTGGGATTATAGGTGTCCACCTCCACTCCCGGCTACGTTTTTTTTTTTTTTTTTTTTTTTTTTTTCTTTTTTTTTGAGATTGAGATGGGGTCTTGCTCTGTTGCCCAAGCGGGAGTGCAGTGGCACCATCTTGACTCACTCCAACCTCTGCCTCCTGGGTTGAAGACGTTCTCCTGCCTCAGCCTCCTGAGTAGCTGGGGATACAGGCAGGCACCACCAGGCCCAGCTAATTTTTGTACTTTTAGTAGAGACGGGGTTTCACAATGTTGGCCAGGCTGGTCTTGAACTCCTGACCTCAAGTGATCTGCCCGCCTTGGCCCCCCAAAGTGCCAGGATTACAGGCATGAGCCTCTGTGCCCGATGTTTTTTAAAAATATTTTTAGTAGAAATGGGGTCTCAGCAGATGGGCCAAGCTGGGCTTGAAGTCCTGACTTCAGGCAATCCACCCACCTCAGTCTCTGCAAGTGCTGGGATTGCAGGCCTGAGCCACCGCACCCTGCTGTATTACTTTGTTAAGTCTGCAATAATAAATCAACTCATTTAGGAGGTTTCCAAAAAAAGAGATTAATCCTCTCCCCGTCCTGCAGACCAGGAGTCTGAGATCTCGGTGGCTCACAGCTGCGTTCTCTCTGGAGGCTCCAGGGGAGGCTCCTGCCGGCCGCTCCCAGCTCCTGGGGGCTGCAGCATCTCGGCTTGCGGCCCCACCACTGCAGTCTGTGCCTCCTCCTCTGTGTCTGTGTGTCCTCTTCAGTCTTTTAGAAGGACACCTGTCATTGGAGTCAGGCCCCACACTCATCCAGGACGATCTTACTTTGGGATCTTTAAGTCATCACAGGTGCAAACACCCTATTTCCAAATAAGGTCCCATTTGAAGGTTCTGGGCTTTAGGATTCAGACACAGCTTTTGTGACGGCCAGTGTTAAACTTTTAAGAGGCCGAGGTGGGTGGATCCCCTGAGGTCGGGAGGTCAAGACCAGCCTGATCAACATCGAGAAACCCCATCTCTACTAAAAATACAAAATTAGCCAGGTGTGCTGGCGGGCACCTGTCATCTGGGCTGCTGGGGAGGCTGAGGCAGGAGAATCACTTGAACTCAGGAGGTGCAGGTCACAGTGAGCTGAGATCGTGCCATTGCACTCCAGCCTGGGAAACAAGAGTGAAACTCCATCTCAAAAAAACAAAAAAAAGAAAAAGAAAAGGAAAGAATGACAGTTTTTAGGGTCCACGAAGTCTCTAGCTCCAAGAGTCTGAACAACCCAGATTTGACCAGTTTTGTGACAGCCTCCCAGGAACAGAATGTGGTAAGAAAAACTCACTTTAACCCCCTGTGATTCCATCTCCAGCCTGACCCATCCGTGATCCCCGCTTCCCAAGCATCTCCCTGCCAGATTTTGTTTATTTGTTTGTGTATTCATTTATTTATGAGACAGAATCTCAGCCTGGCACGGCGGCTCACACCTGCAATCCCAGCATTTTGGGAGGCTGAGGCAGGTGGATCCCCTGAGGTTGGGAGTTCGAGACCAGTGTGGCCAAGTTGCTGAAAGCCCGTCTCTACTAAAAATACAAAAAAAAAATTAGCCGGGCGTGGGGGTGGGCACCTGTAGTGCCAGCCACTCGGGAGGCTGAGGCAGGAGAATCGCTTGAATCCAGGAGGTGGAGGTTGCAGTCAGCTGAGATCACACCACTGCGCTTCAGCCTGGGCAACAGGAGCAAAACTGCATCTCAAAAATAAAAATAGAAATAAAAATGGCTGGCCACAAGGAAATTCGGTGACGTACCTTGTTTGACTAAAGGTCCTGAGACTCTCATTCCAGAGACGTTTCTACCCTCACTCAGAGAAAGCAAGGCTTCTCCCAGAGGCTGAGAAGAATCTAGAGGGACAGGCCTGGCGGGGTTCCTCACTAGCCCATCGCATTAGACCAGTCCCCTTCCCTCCGGTTCTGTTTCTACGCAGCTGTCCACACTTGCCTAAACCTAAGCATTAAAATGAACAGTTTCACTCCCGGCACAGAGGCTCACAGCTGTCGTTTTAGCACTTGGGGAGGTGGAGCTGAGCGGATCACCTGAGGTCAGGAGTTCAAGACCAGCCTGGCCAACACGGAGAAACCCGTCTGTAATAAAAATGCAAACGGTAGCTGGGCCTAGGGGTCCATGCCTGGAATCTCAGGTACTCGGGGGGCTGAGGCAGGAGAATCCCTTGAACCCGGGAGGTGGAGGCTGCAGTGAGCTGAGATCACGCCACTGCACTCCGGCCTGGGAGACAGAGCGAGACTCCGTCTCAAAAAACAAAAATAAATGAGATTTGAAACGTCACGCGGAGCCAAGCCGAAGTGAGGATCCAGCGTCAGGCTTTGCTTTACAGCCACACGAATGCACGAAGTCGGAGCTCCTGCGGAAACAGGGAGGAGAAGCCACAGGACACGCGGTCTTCCGATGGTGGTGCTGGCCAGCTGTCGTCTTCCGCTGCGTGAAGACATCTCTGCTCTCCTTGGTTCTCTTTTTTGAGAGAGAGTTTCATTCTTGCCCAGGGTGAGTGCACGGACGTGATCTCGGCCCGCAGCAACCTCTGCCTCCTGGGTTCAAGGGATTCTCCTGCCTCAGCCTCCTGAGTGGCACCTGCCACCGCTCCCGGCTAATTTTCGTATGGTTATTTTTTTAGTGAGCCACCGAGCCCGGCCTGCTTGGTTCTTCTTAGGACTTTGTACACAGCACAAAAGGCATCTGGATTTGTGTGTGTGTGCAGGTGTGCGTGTGTAGTTGTGTGTATGGACATGTGCAGTGTGTGCAGGCATGTGGGGACGTGTTTGTGCAGGTGTGTGTGCAGGGCTGTATGTGTACAGATGTGTGCGCAGTGTACAGGCAGATGTGCGTGTGTAGTTGTGTGTGTGCACACGTGCACTGTGTGCAGGTGTGTGGGGATGTGTGTGCATGTGTGTGCAGGAGGGTGTGTGTACAGATTTGTGTTCAGGTGTGTAGGCAGATGTGCACATATAGTTGTGTGTTCAGGCACGTGGAGATGTGTGCAGATCTGTGTGCAGGTGTTTTTGTGTGCAGCTGTGTGTGCAGGAGGCTGTATATGCAGGTGTGTGTGCAGATGTGTTTGCAGACATGCATCTGTGTGCAGGAGGGAGTGTGTGCAGGAGTCTGTGTGTGCAAGTCGCTGTACAGTTGTATGCGCAGGTGTGTGTGGGTGTATAGGCAGATGTGCTTGTATAATTCTGTGTGTGCACATGCACACTGTGTGCAGGCATGTGGGGATGTGTACACATGTGTGTGCAAGAGTGTGTATGCAGGTGTGTGTATAGGAGTGTGTGTGCAGCTGTGTGTACAGATATGTATGCCGGTGTGTATGTAGGAATGTGTGTGTGTGCAGGAGTGTGTGCAGGAGTGTGTGTACAGGTGTGTGTGCAGGAGCATGTGTGCACATGTGTTTACAGTTATGTATGTAGGTGTGTACGCAGGAGTTTGTGTATGCAGGAATGTGTACAGGTGTGTGTACAGGAGTGTGGGTGCACATGTGTGTACAGATATGTATGTAGGTGTGTACGCAGGAATGTGTGTGAACAGGTGTGTGTGTGCAGGTGTGTGTGCAAGGGTCTGTGTGCACAAATGTATGCAGGAGGATGTGTGCAGCTCTGTGTACAGATGTATGCATGTGTGTGCAAAGGAGTGTGTATGCAGGTGTGTGTGCCGGTGTGTCTGTGTGTAGGCGTATGTAGAGATATGGATGCAGGTGTGCGTGCAGGTGTGTCTGTATGCTACCATGTGTAGAGATATGTAAGCCGGTGTGTGTGCGGATGTGTGTGCAGGTGTGTGCGCACGAGTGTGTGTGTGTGCACCTGTGTTTGCCGCTGTGTGTCTCTGTCTGCACATGTGTGTAAGACTCACACTTGAGCTGACCAACAAGCCGCTCTTTGGAGCGGAGGTCAGGAGCCAATGACCTCACCCACAATTACAGGTTTCCCAACCCTGTGAAATGAGGAAGCCAAGGCGGGAGGCGGGGAGCCCATTAGGAGGGAGAGGAGCGTGAAAGGAGGTGCCCAGGCCATTAGGAGTGAAAGGAGGTGCCCAGGCTGGAGTCCCCCCGAGAAGACGAGCAAAGCAGGGAGGGGAAGCGGGTGCCGTGGGGTAAGCTGCATTCTTTCATGTTCTCGCCTTTCACCATGTGGAGCCACCGGGGTCCGTGTTTCTGCTTCTGTCTGTCGGTGTCAAACAGAGACAGAAACACAAAATCAGATTGGAAACTTGCGTTGACATCAGCCAAAGTCAGCCCTAGCGATACTCGGCTATAAGCTGTGTTCTGCCTTCGTTATAAGCGGGTTAAAAAAAAAGTGGGGGTGAGGGAGGTGTTGGGGGACAGGGATTGGGCTTCTGTGAAGCTGTTTGCCAGGAATTCTCACTGATTTAAAGAAAAAAAACACACACACACAATTGGGCCGGACGTGGTGGCTCACGCCTGTAATCTCAGTACTTTGGGAGGCCGAGGCAGGCAGATCACTGCAGGTCAGGGGTTCAAGACCAGCCTGGCCAAGGTGATGAAACCCTGTCTTTAAAAAAAAATCTTAAAAAAATAGAAAGGAAAAAGCAATTGATGAATGACTGTCTGTACATAGCTAAGTTGCAGGGAGTTGGCTCCAGCGTCTGGCGCGGTATTCTTAGGTGAATTCATAGCTGTTTGTGGCAACGGGAAGCAGTTTCCACAGATGAATGCAGGCTGGGTGCGGTCGCTCTCACCCGTAATCCCAGCACGCTGGTAGGCCAAGGTGAGGAGGATCATGAGGTCAGGAGTTCAAGACCAGCCTGGCCAACACGGTGACACCCCGTCTCTGCTAACGCCACGATAATTAGCCGGACGTGTGGCCAGGTGCCTGTAATCTCAGCGACTTGGTAGGCAAGATTATTAAGAAGGTAAAGGGGCCAGCCATGGTGGTTCACTCCTGTCATCCCAGCACTTTGGGAGGCAGAGGCAGGAGGATCGTGAGGTCAGGAGTTCGAAACCAGCCTGGCCAACATGGCAAAACCCTGCCTCTACTAAAAACACAAAAATTAGCCAGGCGCAGCGGTGGGCCCCTGTAGTCCTAGCTACTCGGGAGGCTGAGGCAGGAGAAACACTTGAACCCGGGAGGTGAAGGTCATGGTGACCTGGGTAACAAGAGCGAAACTGTGTCAAAAAAAAGACTATTAAAAAGAAATCACGGGGAGATGTGCTCCTCTTCAAGGGTTTGTGATAAAGGATTAATCTTTCTCATCACTATATTTCACATATTCTCGTGAATATTTGTACTTTCGTACAGGCGGGAGTCACGCTGTGTTTCCCGGGCTGGTCTTGAACTCCTGGGCTCAAGTTTTCTTCCTGCCTTGGCCTCCCAAAGTGCCGGGATTACCGGTGTGAGCCACCACACCCAGCCTCTGATTTTTTTTTTTCCCTTAACTCTTAACCTCAAGTGATCCACCCGCCTTCCAGGTTCAAGCGATTCTCCTGCCTCAGCCTCCAGAGTAGCTGGGATTACAGATGCCGGCCACACCTGGCTAATTTTCCTTTTCTATGTATTTTTTTTTTTTTTTTTTAGTAGAGACAGGTTTTTACTCTGTTTTCGAGACTGGTGTCGAACTGCTGACTTCCTGATCAGTCTGCCTTGGCCTCCCAAAGTGGTGGGATTCCAGCCGTCTGGACCAAACCAATGTATTTTGTTTTATATTTTTATGTTTTTTAAAAAAAATTTGTGATGAAGTTCCTCTTACAGCCCAGGCTGGAGTGCAATGGCGCGATCTCGGCCCACTGCAACCTCCGTCTCCCGGGTTCAAGTTACTCTCCTCCCTCGGCCTCCTGAGTAGCTGGGATTACAGGCATGCACCACCAGGCCCGGCTAATTTTATATTTTTAAATAGAAACAGGTCATGGTCAGCCATATTTGGAGAACTCAATTCACTCAATTGTTCGACACAGGCTTTTTCCTTGTAAAATGGTCTGTTCAGGTGTGGTGATATCTCAGTAGGCCAGGCACAGTGGCTCAGGCCTGTCATCCCAGCACTTTGGGAGGTTGAGGCTGCTGGATCACGTGAGGTCAGGGGTTCGAGACCAGCCTGGTCAACCTAGTGAAACTCCGTCTGTACTAAAAATACAAAGTACAAAAATTACCCGGGCATGGTGGATGCCTGTAATCCCAGCTACTCAGGAGGCTGAGGCGGGAGAATCGCTTGAACCCGGGAGGCGGAGGTTGCGGTGAGCTGAGATCAAGCCACTGCACTCCAGCCTGGGCGACAGAGCAAGACTCTGTCTCAAATAAAATAAAATAAAATAAAGTCTTCCTCTTCTTTTGTGCAGCAGATAATGAGATGACGGGGGAAAAAAAATAACAACAACAAAAAAAACCCACACCATTGTTTTCCTGGGCAGGTCAGTTTTATTGTTACTGAAATCGGAGGAAATGTTTTTCAGAGCTTGGTAATATCAAAGGGCTTTTTAATTTGAAATACTCCTTGTAGCACGGAGCCCTGTTTTGGGGTAAAATATTTTCATTTCCCGCACTCTCCGTCATCCTGGCTTTAAATCAGAGGAGGAAGCTCAGAGGCTTCTATTTTAGAATGAGCCAAAGTCAGTGGAAAGGGGAAGGGAAACCCGGTCTGGGAACATGAATAGAAGAAGAGGAAATTTGTAGGTGCTGCCTACAAAACCCAAAAACGTTGCATAATTTTCTGTTGGTAGAAAACGTTTTGCAAACCAGGAAGACCTTTCTGAGCCAGGTCTCAGTCCATTTAGAAAGTCTATTTTGCCGACGTTAAGGGCGTGTGGCTGGGGCACAGCCTCAGGAAATACCCATGACATTTTACTGCTATTATTTGAGACGGAGTCTCGCTCCATATTTATATATCTTATAAATATATTTAGATATATAAATATCTAAATATATTTATAAGATATATAAATATATAAATATACCATATATTTATAAATATATAAATATACCATATATTTATAAATATATAAATATACCATATATTTATAAATATATAAATATACCATATATTTATAAATATATAAATATACTATATATTTATAAATATATATATACCATATATTTATAAATATATATACTATATATTTATAAATATATAAATGTATACTATATATAGTATACTATATAGTATACATTTATATATTTAGATATTTATAAATATATAGTATATATATTTAGATATTTTTATAAATATATTTAGATATTTATAAATATATACCATATATAGTACACTATATATAGTGTATACATTTATATAAATATATAGTATATATATTTATATATTTATTATAGTATATATATTTATATATTTATAAATGTATAAAAACATAAATACATTTATATATAAATTTAAATATTTATAAATAATATTTTAAATATTTATAAATATTATTTATTCATTTATTTATTTATTATTACCATTCTTTTTGGGAAGGGGACAGAGATCTCAGCTCACTACCACCTCCGCCTCCAGGGTTCAAGCGATTCTCCTGCCTCAGCCTCCTGAGTAGCTGGGATGACAGGCGTGAGCCACCGCGCCCGGCTCAGAATGTGGGTGTCTGGGGTGCCTCAGGGGAGGCTGCCCAGAGCTGAGACAGTTGCAAGACCCAGAGGCAGGCACTGGGAAGATGAGTGCAGCCGTCCACATGAGGAAGCCGGCCACATGTCCACGTCAGGCGGGTGGCCGTGGGAGGTGGTGGAGGGGAAGAGGAACGCAGGTGTGGTCTGTCCGTTTTTACTTCCCGTTTGCACCCGGCGAGGTTCCTCTTAGAGAGGAATGCTCTGACAGACACGACCGTTTTTGTTTGTTTGTTTGTTTTTAGACGGTGTCTCTTTCTGTCACCCAGCGTGGAGTGCTGTGCTGTGACCTCGGCTCACTGCAACCTCCGCCGCCCAGTTTAAGAGCGTCTTCTTGACCGGGAGCTGTGGCTCACGCCTGTAATCCCAGCACTTTGGGAGGCCGAGATGGGTGGCTCACCTGAGGTCAGGAGTTCAAGACCAGCCTGGCCATCATGGTGAAACCCCATCTTTATTAAAAATAAAATAGAATAAAAAAATCATATTAAAAAACATGCCTGTCATCCCAGCACTTTGTGAGTGGATCAGAAGGTCAGGAGTTTGAAACCAGTCTGGCCACATTGGTGAAACCCTGACTGTACTGGAAATGCAAAAATTAGCCGGGCTTGGTGGCGGGTGCCTGTCATCCCAGCTACTTGGGAGGCAGAGGCAGGAGAATCACTTGAACCCAGGAGGCGGAGGCTGCAGTAAGCCGAGATCGCACCCCTGCACTCCAGCCTGGGCGACAGAGCGAGACTCTGTCTCAGAATAAATAGATAAAAATAAAAATACATAAAACAATAAGACACCCCTCCACGATACACACAGCATGCCTCTGCTGCCGTCAGGAGTTCAAGACCAGCCTTGCCATCTTGGTGAAAGCCCATCTTAAAAAAAAAGAGAGAGAGAGAGAGAGTCTTTTGCTTCACCCTCCAGAGTAGGCTCTGGAGTAACCGGGATTACAAGCGCCCTCTACCACACCTGGAATTTTTTTTTTTTTTTTTTTTTTTTTTTTGTATTTTTAGTAGGGGTGGGGTTTCGCCTTGTTGGCCAGGGTGGTCTGAAACTCCTAACCTCAGGGGATCCGCCTACCTCTCGGCCTCCCAAAGTGCTGAGATGACAGGTTTGAGCCAACACAACTGATTCCGGCTCTGTCACCCAGGCTGGAGTGCTGTGGTGCGATCTTGGCTGACTGCAACCTCCGCCTCCCAGGTTCAGGCAACTCTCCTGCCTCAGGCTCCTGAGTAGCTGGGATGACAGGTGTGCGCCATCACGCCTCGCTGATTTTTGTATTTCTAGTAGACATGGGGGTTTCACCATGTTGGGCAGGCTGGTCTCGAACTCCTGACCTCATGACTCACCTGCCTTGGCCTCCTTAGGGCTGGAATGAGAGGCGTGAGCCACCGCCCCCAGCCATATGCAATCTCTGAAAGTGAAGGTTTGCAGCAGGAACGTTAGGGGGGGCAGGCGGTTTCCACCAGGTTCAGAAATTACAAAGCGTTCCTATATGCTCTTTTCTCTTACACACACGTAAGCAGGAGCCACAGAGATGGTTCAGGCAGGTTGATATCGTGAGCCAATATTGATACCCTATTACTGATACTGACACATTAGTCTTTCTTTCTTTATTTTTTTAAAGACGGGGTTTCACCATGTTGGTCAGGCTGGTCCTGAACTCCCAACCTCAGGTGATCCGCCCGCCTTGGCCTCCAAAGTGCTTGGATGACAGGCGTGGGCCACCATGCCCAGCCCGTATTGACACATTATTACTAACTAAAGTGAGTAGCTAGTCACAGAGTTGACATGAGAATTCTCATTGTGCATTCCATGGATTTGAAGAAAACTGTAATGATAAGAGCCAAGTGCTCCCAGGACTTTGCGAGGCCTAGGCGGGCGGATCACCTGAGGTCAGGAGTTTGAGACCAGCCTGACCAACATGGAGAAACCCCGTCTCTCCTAAAAATACAAAACATTAGCCAGGTATGCTGGTGGACACCTGTAATTCTACCTACTGGGGAGGCTGAGCCAGGAGACTCGCTTGAACCCGGGGGGCGGAGGTTGTGGTGGGCCGAGATCGCACCACTGCACTCCAGCCTTGCAGACGAGAGTGAAAGTCCAAAAAAGAAAACAGTGTAATTATGTGAATTCACCGTTTGTAGGAACATCCAGAGTAGGTTTTCCTTCCCCTCCTCCCCCTCCCCCTCCCCCTCCTCGCCATTATTCTGTCTCCCACATGGGATCAGGATGTGGACATCTTTCGGGCCATTATTCTGCCTCCCACATGGGATCAGGACGGGGACATCCCTGGGGCTGTTATTCTGTCTCCCACATGAGATCAGGACAGGGACATCTTTGGGGCCATTATTCTGTCTCCCACATGGGATCAGGACGTGGACATCTTTGGGGTCATTATTCTGTCTCCCACGTGGGATCAGGACGTGGACATCTTTGGGGCCGTTATTCTGCCTCCCACATGGGATCAGGACGTGGACATCTTCGGGGTCATTATTCTGTCTCCCACGTGGGATCAGGACGTGGACATCTCTGGGGTCATGATTCTGTCTCCCACATGGGATCAGGACGTGGACATTTTTGGGGTCATTATTCTGTGTCCCACATGAGGATCAGGACGGGGACATCTTTGGGGCCGTTATTCTGTCTCCCACATGGGATCAGGACGGGGACATCTTTGGGGCCGTTATTCTGCCTCCCACATGAGGATCAGGACGGGGACATCTTTGGGGTCATGATTCTGTCTCTCACATGGGATCAGGATGTGGACATCTCTGGGGCCATTATTCTGTCTCCCACATGGGATCAGGACGGGGACATCTCTGGGGTCATGATTCTGTCTCCCACATGGGATCAGGACGTGGACATTTTTGGGGTCGTTATTCTGTGTCCCACATGAGGATCAGGACGTGGACATCTTTGGGGCCGTTATTCTGCCTCCCACATGGGATCAGGACGGGGACATCTTTGGGGCCGTTATTCTGCCTCCCACATGAGGATCAGGACGGGGACATCTTTGGGGTCATGATTCTGTCTCTCACATGGGATTAGGATGTGGACATCTTTGGGGCCGTTATTCTGCCTCCCACATGGGATCAGGACGGGGACATCTCTGGGAAGTTCCCTGGGGCCCCCTGCCCGGAGTGTCCTGGCGACGCCCGCTCCTCACCGTGTGACACTCTCTGTCCTGCATCCCCCTGCAGCTCTTCTCTCTGGTCAGCATGAAGGTCCCCCTGGTGCCAGCGCTTCTCCTCTGTGCGTGGCTGCGCGCTGCCGTCCTGCGGACCGCGGGGCACTCGGGTAAGTGCGGAAGCCCGTCTGCAGCTCCTCTGGCTGCGGCTTCGGTGTCCGGTGTCTGGAGACCTACCTGGATCGCTGCGTGCGTTTGCATTCGTGTGTCGCGTCGGTCAGGGACCCCGTAGGCAGCAGCCCACCCACCAGGGCGTGAGAGCGTCCCTGGCCTCACCTGCTTTCCTGAGTGCCTGTGTGCATGCCCAGCCGCCCGTTCTACAGACGAGAAAACAAAGGTCAGAGGCCTCCGTGGTTTCACCCAGCGACCATCCAGGGAGTCGTGGGGCCACGATCAGGACTCAGCTGTGCACGGAGCCAGAGGCTTTCTTCCTCCCTCCCGCCTTCCTCCCATCTCTCCCTCCGAATTTATTTCTTTTTTCCTTTTTTTCTTCCCTCTGTTTTTTGCTTCCACTGTGTTTTTCCTGCTCTCCCTTCCTTCCCTGTCTGTCTCTTTCTCTCTTTCCATTCTTTCTCTCATCCTCGGCCTCCTGCGTCAGCCTCCTGAGTAGCGGGGACTACGGGCACCTGCCACGACGCCCGGCTAATTCTTTTTTTAATTGTAGTAGACACAGGGTTTCACCACGTTGGCGAGGGTGGTCTTGATCTCGTGACCTCATGATCCCCCTGTCTCGGCCTCCCAAAGTACTGGGATTACAGGTGTGAGCCACCACGCCTGGCTGGATGGGAAGTTTCTATGTTGCTCAGGCTGGCCTCGAACTCCTAGGCTAACCTTACGCAGCCGGACAGCAGGCCCGAGCCAGTGAAGCTCCCGATTCTTCTTAATAATGGGTTGAACACGGGCTGAGTTTCAGCCAGCTGCAAAGGTGGGAGAGACCCCAGAAGTGAGCAGAGACCAGGCACCCTGAGGGGGACCCAAGGAAAATCCCCGAGCTCGGCCGGGCTGGAAAGCTGTGCATGGAAAGCAGAGCCGTGGAGGGGAGAGGTGCGAGGGCTTCCTTCAAAGATGGCTGCTCTGCGTGCAGAATTTCCCCCAGGGGCAGTGGGGTGCTTTGAGGATGTCGTCTGGACTTCTTGGACCTGCGAGGGCATGAAGCTCAGCTCCTCTGTCTCTGCTTCTCTCCCTCGGGTAAAGATTTTGGGGACTCAGGTGATTCCCCCGCCTTGGCCTCCCAACGTGCTGGGATGACCGGCCTGAGTCACGGCCCTCAGCCACAATCCATAATTTGGAACACGTGTTCTGAGCCCCGTCACTCCAGATAAAGCGCGTTTGCCTGTTCTCATTCAAATGGTTTTCTTTTTCTTTCTCTCTTTCTTTTTTTTTTTTTTTCTTTTTGAGACAGGGTGTCACTCTGTCACGGAGGCTGGAGTGCAGCGGCGTGATCTCAGCTCACTGCAGCCACGACTTTCTGGGATCAATGACCCTCCCACGTCAGCTTCCCACGTAGCTGGGACCACACACGTGCGCCACCATGCCAAGCTCATTTTGAATTTGTTTTTATTTTTGTTTTGTAGAGATGGGATCTTGCTGGGTTGCCCTGACTGGTCTCAACCTGCGGCGTTATGTTTTCGCCTCAGCCTCCCCACGTGCTGACATTACAGGCATCAGCCAGTGCACTTGGCCTTCAGATGGTTTTTCATTTTTATTTTTATTTTTAGACGGAAACTTGGTCTGTCGCCCAGGCTGGAGTGCAGTGGCGCAATCTCGGCTCACTGCAGCCTCCACTTCCTGGGTTCAAGGACTTCCCACCTCAGCCTCCCGAGTAGCTGGGATTACAGGTACCAGCCACTACGCCTGGCTAATTTTTCATATTTTTATGAGCGACAGGGTGTCGCCATGTTGCCCAGGCTGGTTTCAACTCCAGACCTCAAGTGATCCACCCACCTCACCCTCCCAAAGTGCTGGGATTACGGGTGTGAGCCACTGTGCCCAGCTAGTTTTTTATTAATTCTGCAGTAAACTTGTCCGTGTGGAGAATGAGCAAGCTGGGAAGATAGAGGAACCTAATTTAAAGAAGAAAACGTGTTTTTTTTTGTTTGTTTGTTTTTGTTTTAAGAAATGGGATCTTGCTATATTGCCCAGGCTGATCTCCACCTGCTGGGTTGAAGTCATCTTTTGGCCTCAGCTTCCCAAAATGCTGGGATGAGAGGCATGAGCCACTTTCCCCAGTGTTCATGTGTTTTCTTTGTGTTTGTTTGTTTTGAGACAGAGTCTTGCTCTGTCTCCCAGGCTGGGGTGCAGTGGCACGGTCTTGGCTCACTGCAAACTCCGCCTCTGGGTTCAAGCAATCCTCCTGCCTCAGCCTCCTGAGTAACTGGAATTGCAGACACCCGCCATCACGTCCGGCTAAGTTTGTGTTTTTAGTAGAGACGGGGTTTCACCATGTTGGCCAGGCTGGTCTGGAACTCCTGACCCTGCCCCACATGCACCTGCATGCACTGTAGACAGGAGGAGACCCTGCACCACCTCCACCTGCACCCAGTGTAGACAGATGGGACCCTGCCCCACATCCACCTGTACCCAGTGTAGACAGATGGGACCCTGCACCACCTCCACCTGCACCCAGTGTAGACAGGAGGAGACCCTGCCCCACCTCCACCTGCACCCAGTGTAGACAGATGGGACCCTGCACCACCTCCACCTGCACCCAGTGTAGACAGAAGGGGACCCTGCCCCACCTCCACCTGCACCCAGTGTAGACAGATGGGACCCTGCACCACCTCCACCTGCACCCAGTGTAGACAGATGGGACCCTGCCCCACATCCACCTGCACCCAGTGTAGACAGATGGGACCCTGCACCACCTCCACCTGCACTCAGTGTAGACAGGAGGGGATCCTGCCCCACCTCCACCTGCATCCAGTGTAGACAGATGGGACCCTGCACCACCTCCACCTGCACTCAGTGTAGACAGGAGGGGACCCTGCCCCACATCCACCTGCACCCAGTGTAGACAGGAGGGGATCCTGTCCCAAGGCCATAGGGCCTGTGTGGGTGGCTCAGCAGCTGTGGGTACAGGAAGACCAGAAACAGCCAGGGAGGTCGGAGCCGGAGGGAAGATGGACAAGGGACGAGATTTCTGAGGACGTGAGACGTCCTGGGGCCATGTTGGGGACAGAGGAAAGTGAACAGTCTCCAGCCCTGAACTTCACCTCCCAGAGCCGGGTGGGCAGAGCAAAAACGGGAGAGGCCGGGCACAGTGCCTCGCGGCTGGCATCCCAGAACTTTGGGAGGCCGAGGCGGGTGGGTCAGCTGAGGTCGGGAGTTCGAGACCAGCCTGACCCGCATGGAGAAACCCCCGTCTCTAAAAACAAAATGAGCCGGGCGTGGTGGTGCCGGGCGCCTGTGATCCCAGCTTGACTCAGGAGGCTGAGGCAGGAGAGTCGCTTGAACCCGGGAGGCGGAGGTTGCGGTGAGCCGAGATCGCGCCACGGCACTCCAGCCTGGGAGACAAGAATGAAACTCCGTCTCATTAAAAGAAGAAAAGAAAAGAAAAAAAAAAAAAAAACAGGAAAAGAGGCAATTCTGAATTCGTTTCCTGCAGGTCGAACAACTGTGGCCCCAGCCTCCGGCCTCAACATCACGTTCGACTCCAGGACGATGATATTAAGCTGGAGCTGTAAAGACAACACCAGCCTCAGCAGGTGCATCTTAATACACAAAAAGGACGGACCCATCGAATACAGGGTGAGTCGGACGCGGCGTTCGCTGACTTAGAAGCCACGCGGCCAGCTGGCTGGGCACAGCGGCTCATGCCTGTGATCCCGGCACTTTGGAAAACCGAGGCAGGGGGGTCACCTGAGCTCAGGAGGTCAGGGTCAGCCTGGCCAACACGCTGAAACTCCATCTGTCTTTGTTTTTAAAGATGGGGTTTGACCACGTTGGGTAGCCTGGTCTCGAACTCCTGACCTCGTGATCCGCCCGCCTCGGCCTCCCAAAGTGCTGGATTAAAGGCGTGAGCCAGTGTGCTGTGCCTAATTTTTTTTTTCTTTTTTTTGCATGGCCAACATGGCAAAACTCTCTACTAAAAATACAACAATTAGCCGGGCGTGCTGGCGGGTGCCTGAAATCACAGCTACTCAGCAAGATGAGGCAGGAGAATCCCTTGAACCCGGGAGGCGGAGGTTGCAGTGAGCCGAGATCGCGCCACTGCACTCCAGCCTGGGCGACAAGAGCGAAATTCACTTTCAAAAACAAAAAGCAAAAACAAAAACACACAAAACAAACAAAGAAGTGGGGGCGGGGGCGGGAAGGGACCCAAACCCAAGTGTGATATTTGGCGTTATTTCATGCCCAGGACCTCACGGGGACCACGGACGCCCTTCTGGCTTGTGTCGCGATGCGTCTGGGTCTGTGGAGGATTTTTTTTTTTCTTTTTGAGATGGAGTCTCACAGTGTCACCCAGGCTGGAGTGCCGTGGTGTGATCTCGGCTCACTGCAACCTCCGCCTCCCGGGTTCCACCGATTCTCCTGCCTCAGCCTCCGGAGTAGCTGGGAGTACAGGTGCGTGCCACCACGCCCGGCTAATTTTGGTATTTGTGGTAGAGACGGGATTTCAGCTTGTTGGCCAGGCTGGTCTTGAACTCCTGATCTCTGGTGGTCTGCCTGCTTCGGCCTCCCAAAGTGCTGGGGTGACAGGCATGAAGCACCCCAGCCTGCCTCAGTCTGATATTATAAACATTGCTCGATTATGACATTCATTTTCCACCGGCCAGCTGGTATTTGGGGTATCCCCTGAGAGTCCTCGGAGGAGGTATAGGGGATGATCTCACGGAGGGAGGCAGGTGGGTGTCTCTGAATCTGGTTGGAAACCAGCACCATGGAGAGCAGAGGAGACGCAAATCCGTTTCCTCATCTGCTCTGACGCACTCCAACTTCTCAGCTCAGGAACAAACAATGTTTCTGCACGTTTCGTGAGGTCACTCTCCACGGAGGAGTCACTTTCGAGGTGCACGTGCAGACCAGCCAAGGAGAATTTCAAGAAAAAATGCCTTATCCCAATTCCGGTAAGGAAGACGCTGCAGGAATCTCTTCACAGCATCCCTCACCCTTCGAAGCCGCACCCAAGACCATCAGATTAAATCCCATTTAACTCTTTTTTTTTTTTTTGAGCTGGAGTCTGGCTCTGTCCCCCAAGGCTGGAGCAGTGGAGTGATCTGAGCTCACTGCAACCTCCACCTCCGGGGTTCAAGCCACTCTCCTGCCTCAGCCTCCGGAGTAGCTGGGATGACAGGCACCTGCCACCACAGCCGAGTTTTTGCATTTTTCATTTTTTATTCTTGAGACACAGTTTCATTCTTGTTACCCAGGCTGGAGTTCCATGGCACCATCTCAGCTCAATGCAACTTCCACTTCCTGGGTTCAAGGGACTCTCCTGCCTCAGCCTCCCTAGTAGCTAACATTACAGGTGCCCGCCACCACGCCAGGCTACATTTTTGTATTTTTAGTACACAGAGGGTTTCTCCATGTTGGTCAGGCTGCTGTTGAACTCCCGACCTCAGGTAATCGACCCACCTCGGCCTCCCAAAGTGCTGGGATTTCAGGTGTGAGCCACTGCGCCCGGCCAATTTTTTGTGTTTTTAGTAGACGCGGGGTTTCACCATGTTGGCCAGGCTGGTCTTGAACTCCTGACCTCAGGTGATCCGTCCATCGCAGCCTCCCAAAGTGCTGGGGTGACAGGCGTGAGCCGTCGCTCCCGACCCCGTTTAACTCTTGAGTGAAAAGTGTTTTGTTTCTGCCTGTCCCCAGGTAGGGAGGGTTCCGCTGCCCGGAATTTCTCCTGCTTCATCTACAACGCGGATTTCATGAACTGTAGCTGGGCACGGGGTCCGACCGCCCCCTGCGATGTCCAGTATTCTTTGTCCATACGAGACTCCAAGTGAGTGTTCACCTTGTGTGAGGAATTATGAGGGAGGCAGGGATGGGGGAAAGTCCTGCTGTTCATTTCTTCGACTTTTTCTTTCTTTGAGACAGAGTCTCGCTCTGTTGCCCGGGCCGGAGTGCAGGGGTGCGATCTCGGCTCACCGCAGCCTCCGCCTCCCGGGTTCAAGCGATCCTCCTGCCTCAGCCTCCCGAGTAGCGGGGATGACAGGTGCCCGCCACCACGCCCGGCTAATTTTTTTTTTTTTGAAAAGCATTCAAAATATTTAATGAGACGAGATACAAAATCGTATGTCTGCTGATAATAGCTGTGCACAATTATAATACATGTGATCAAAGAGTAAACAGGAATCTGAGAAACAAAAAACAGATTTTGAGAGGATTCTCAGTGCGCTTTCCTGCATTTTACATTTCTATATTGTTACTAAAGTATTGTTTGCACAGTAAACCCTCATCTTTTAAAATTTTTGTTTCAGCTCGATGAACCTGGCGGGTCTTTTTTTTTTAATTGCATTTTAGGTTTTGGGGTACATGTCTAATTTTTATATTTTCAGTAGAGACGGGGTTTCACCATCTTGGCCGGGCTGGCCTCGAACTCCTGACCTCAAGTGATCTGTCCCCCTCGCCTCTCAAAGCACCGGGATGACAGGCATGAGCCACCGCGCCCGGGTTGATCTTTGTATTTTTATTCGAGACGGGAGTTTCGCCACGTAGGGCAGGCTGGCCTGGAACTCCTGACCTCGTGGTTGGACCACGTCGGCCGCTCAAAGTGCGGAGGTGACAAGTGTGAGCCACCACGCCTGGCCTGTTGTTCTGATCTGTGTCTGTTTTCTGTTTCCATTTCGTGGGTTTATTTCTGGTTTCTTTGTGGGTTTGTGTTTTTGGTCTGTTTGATTTTCCTCCCTGCTCTCTGAACACTCTGTCATCCTTCAGGGGAAGGCGGGAGATTCCGTGTCCTTATTACACGCAGGACGCGGGAACCCACGTGGGGTGTCACCTGAACAACCTGAGCGGATTAACCTCCCGCAATTACTTCCTGGTTACCGGGACCAGCCGAGAAGTCGGGATCCAGTTCTTCGATTCACTTTTGGACGTCAACAAAATAGGTGAGAATAACCTGTTTGCAGAAATGCTGACCAAAAAACAAGAGACAGAATAAAACAGACGATTTCCGGTTGTTTACAGGTGAGACGGAATTTGCCTTAAAATCTGTGTAACTTTAAAATACAATAAAATAAAATATTTCAATTCAATTATTTAATGTAATTTAATTTAATATAAATAAAATCAAATGTTGTTTTATTCGATTTAAAATAAAATAAAAACAAAGTAATTGGAGCACTTTGGGAGGCCGAGGCGGGCGGATCACCTGAGGTTGGGAGTTCGAGACCAGCCTGAGCCACATGGAGAAACCGAGTCTGTAATAAAAGCACAAAATCATCCGGGCGTGGTGGCGGGCGCCTGTGATCCCACCTGTCTGAGAGGCTGAGGCTGGAGAATGGCTTGAATCTGAGAGGTGGAGGTCGCAGTGAGACGAGATCACCCCACTGTCCGCCTCCGTCTCTCCCTGTCTGCCCTCATTCCTTCCTCCCGTTCCTTCTCCTTCCCTCCATTCCTCCTCCCTCCGTCTCCCCCTTGCTTCCTTCCTCACCAGCACCTTCCCCATGCCCAGGCCCCGCTCCAGGCTGGCGTGTTGAGGGTGGCCCCCCACACCCACACTCTGTCCTCTTCCCAAGCCCGCTGCACCCCACCCACGGCCTCTTTCATCCCCTGGACACCCCCGGCCTCTTTCGGCCCCGGACGCTCGCCCAGCCCGTCCCCAGCTCCCCCCCGGGGTCCTGCTCCCGTGGGCGTCTCTGCTGTGCCGGGCACCTGCCTGGCCGTCCTGCCCGGCTCCCACGGCCTCCCGTTCCGTGGCTGTTGATGATCGATGCGCCTCCGGGGTTCAAGCAATTCTCCTTCCTCAGCCTCCCAAGCAGGTAACGTTTTGTGTTTTTAGCAGAGACGGGGTTTCACCGTGTTGGCCAGGCTGGTCTCGAACTCCTGACCTCGGGTGACGCGCCCGCCTCGGCCGCCCAAAGTGCCGGGATCACAGGCGTGAGCCACTTTGTCTGGGAGGGGGTGGGCGGGCGTGGGGGCCCCGGGTTCGCGGGTGAGTCCGGCACCCTCGTTACAGAACGCTTCGACCCGCCCGGCAACATCACGGTGACCTGCAACAAGACGCAGTGTGTGGTGCGGTGGAGACAGCCCAGGACGCGCCAGCGCCGGCACTTCCTGGAGTTCCGCTACCAGCTGCACGTGTGCAGACAGGTGGGTGCCAGCACTGGGGGCCCAGTGTAGACAGGAGGGGGCCCAGTGTAGACAGGAGGGGACACAGTGTAGACAGGAGGGGGCCCAGTGTAGACAGGAGGGGACCCAGTGTGGACAGGAGGGGGCCCAGTGTAGACAGGAGGGGGCCCACTGTAGACAGGAGGGGACCCAGTGTAGACAGGAGGGGGCCCAGTGTAGACAGGAGGGGGCCCAGTGTAGACAGGAGGGGACACCGTGTGGACAGGAGGGGGCCCAGTGTAGACAGGAGGGGGCCCACTGTAGACAGGAGGGGACACAGTGTAGACAGGACGGGGCCCAGTGTAGACAGGACGGGACACAGTATAGACAGGAGGGGGCCAAGTGTAGACAGGAGGAGACCCTGCCCCTCCTTCACCTGCACCCAGTGTAGACAGATGGGACCCTGCCCCACCTCCACCTGCACCCAGTGTAGACAGGAGGGGACCCTGCCCCGCATGCACCTGCACCCAGCATAGATAGGAGGGGACCCCGACCCACCTCCACCTGTACCCAGTGTAGACAGGAGGAACCCTGGCCCATCTCCACCTGCACCCAGTGTAGACAGGAGGAGACGCTGCCCCACCTCCACCTGCACCCAGTGTAGACAGAAGGGGACCCTGCCCCACCTCTACCTGCATCCAGTGTAGACAGATGGGACCCTGCCCCACCTCCACCTGCACCCAGTGTAGACACATGGGACCCTGCCCCACCTCCACCTGCATCCAGTGTAGACAGATGGGACCCTGCCCCACCTCCACCTGCACCCAGTGTAGACAGATGGGACCCTGCAACACCTCCACCTGCACTCAGTGTAGACAAGAGGGGACCCTATCCCAAGGCCATAGGGCCTGCGTGGGTGGGTCAGCAGCTGTGGGTACAGGAAGACCACTGGCAGGTCGGGATTCTGTGTTTGCAGCTCCTCACCTGTGTGTCCTGTGGATTTGGGGTTTGTGGAGGGAGCGAAGCCTGCAGGGACTCAGGACACTTACCCATTCGGTGCCCACACAGAGGGACAGCGTGTGAAGTGGGTTAGAAACTTCACACTCAGGACCGGGGCTGTCTACACTGGGTGTGGATGGACAGGGGACAGGATCTCCTTTTGTGGACATGGGGTTGAGCTGGATGTGGGGACGTGCCGTCTGAAGTGGGTTAGAACCTCGAACACTGAGCCTTGTGTTCTGTGTGGTTTCCTTCCAGAACTCTCAACCTGACACTGAAAACACACTGGTGAGTGACACCTCGGACCATTCCCCCGACCCCTAGCATAACCCCAGAGCCCCTGTAGACAACCCGCGGTTCAACCCCGAATCCTGGAGTCACCACAGCTAGCATAACGGCACAGTCCCTGCCCAGCACCCCACACAACGTATACTCCCTAACACCACCCACATGACCCACCCTCCCTAACACCACCCACATCACCCACCCTCCCTAACACCACCCACATGACCCACCCTCCCTAACACCACCCACATGACCCACCCTCCCTAACACCACCCACATGACCCACCCTCCCTAACACCACCCACATCACCCACCCTCCCTAACACCACCCACATGACCCACCCTCCCTAACACCACCCACATCACCCACCCTCCCTAACACCACCCACATCACCCACCCTCCCTAACACCACCCACATGACCCACCCTCCCTAACACCACCCACATGACCCACCCTCCCTAACACCACCCACATCACCCACCCTCCCTAACACCACCCACATGACCCACGCTCCCTAACACCACCCACATGACCCACCCTCCCTAACACCACCCACATCACCCACCCTCCCTAACACCACCCACATCACCCACCCTCCCTAACACCACCCACATCACCCACCCTCCCTAACACCACCCACATCACCCACCCTCCCTAACACCACCCACATGACCCACCCTCCCTAACACCACCCACATCACCCACCCTCCCTAACACCACCCACATGACCCACCCTCCCTAACACCACCCACATGACCCACGCTCCCTAACACCACCCACATGACCCACCCTCCCTAACACCACCCACATGACCCACCCTCCCTAACACCACCCACATGACCCACCCTCCCTAACACCACCCACATGACCCACCCTCCCTAACACCACCCACATGACCCACCCTCCCTAACACCACCCACATGACCCACCCTCCCTAACACCACCCACATGACCCACCCTCCCTAACACCACCCACATGACCCACGCTCCCTAACACCACCCACATGACCCACGCTCCCTAACACCACCCACATGACCCACCCTCCCTAACACCACCCACATGACCCACCCTCCCTAACACCACCCACATGACCCACCCTCCCTAACACCACCCACATGACCCACCCTCCCTAACACCACCCACATGACCCACGCTCCCTAACACCACCCACATCACCCACGCTCCCTAACACCACCCACATGACCCACCCTCCCTAACACCACCCACATGACCCACCCTCCCTAACACCACCCACATGACCCACCCTCCCTAACACCACCCACATGACCCACCCTCCCTAACACCACCCACATGACCCACCCTCCCTAACACCACCCACATGACCCACGCTCCCTAACACCACCCACATGACCCACCCTCCCTAACACCACCCACATGACCCACCCTCCCTAACACCACCCACATCACCCACCCTCCCTAACACCACCCACATGACCCACCCTCCCTAACACCACCCACATGACCCACCCTCCCTAACACCACCCACATGACCCACCCTCCCTAACACCACCCACATGACCCACCCTCCCTAACACCACCCACATGACCCACCCTCCCTAACACCACCCACATGACCCACCCTCCCTAACACCACCCACATGACCCACCCTCCCTAACACCACCCACATCACCCACGCTCCCTAACACCACCCACATCACCCACCCTCCCTAACACCACCCACATCACCCACGCTCCCTAACACCACCCACATGACCCACCCTCCCTAACACCACCCACATCACCCACCCTCCCTAACACCACCCACATCACCCACCCTCCCTAACACCACCCACATCACCCACCCTCCCTAACACCACCCACATGACCCACGCTCCCTAACACCACCCACATCACCCACCCTCCCTAACACCACCCACATCACCCACCCTCCATAACACCACCCACATCACCCACCCTCCCTAACACCACCCACATGACCCACCCTCCCTAACACCACCCACATCACCCACCCTCCCTAACACCACCCACATGACCCACGCTCCCTAACACCACCCACATCACCCACCCTCCCTAACACCACCCACATCACCCACGCTCCCTAACACCACCCACATCACCCACGCTCCCTAACACCACCCACATCACCCACGCTCCCTAACACCACCCACATGACCCACCCTCCCTAACACCACCCACATCACCCACCCTCCCTAACACCACCCACATGACCCACGCTCCCTAACACCACCCACATCACCCACCCTCCCTAACACCACCCACATCACCCACGCTCCCTAACACCACCCACATGACCCACCCTACCTAACACCACCCACATCACCCACCCTCCCTAACACCACCCACATGACCCACCCTCCCTAACACCACCCACATGACCCACCCTCCCTAACACCACCCACATCACCCACGCTCCCTAACACCACCCACATGACCCACCCTACCTAACACCACCCACATCACCCACCCTCCCTAACACCACCCACATGACCCACCCTCCCTAACACCACCCACATGACCCACCCTCCCTAACACCACCCACATCACCCACGCTCCCTAACACCACCCACATGACCCACCCTACCTAACACCACCCACATCACCCACCCTCCCTAACACCACCCACATCACCCACCCTCCCTAACACCACCCACATGACCCACCCTCCCTAACACCACCCACATCACCCACGCTCCCTAACACCACCCACATGACCCACCCTCCCTAACACCACCCACATCACCCACCCTCCCTAACACCACCCACATCACCCACCCTCCCTAACACCACCCACATGACCCACCCTCCCTAACACCACCCACATGACCCACCCTCCCTAACACCACCCACATGACCCACGCTCCCTAACACCACCCACATCACCCACGCTCCCTAACACCACCCACATGACCCACCCTACCTAACACCACCCACATCACCCACCCTCCCTAACACCACCCACATCACCCACCCTCCCTAACACCACCCACATGACCCACCCTCCCTAACACCACCCACATCACCCACGCTCCCTAACACCACCCACATGACCCACCCTCCCTAACACCACCCACATCACCCACCCTCCCTAACACCACCCACATCACCCACCCTCCCTAACACCACCCACATGACCCACCCTCCCTAACACCACCCACATGACCCACCCTCCCTAACACCACCCACATGACCCACGCTCCCTAACACCACCCACATCACCCACCCTCCCTAACACCACCCACATGACCCACCCTCCCTAACACCACCCACATCACCCACGCTCCCTAACACCACCCACATGACCCACCCTCCCTAACACCACCCACATCACCCACCCTCCCTAACACCACCCACATCACCCACGCTCCCTAACACCACCCACATGACCCACCCTCCCTAACACCACCCACATCACCCACCCTCCCTAACACCACCCACATCACCCACCCTCCCTAACACCACCCACATGACCCACCCTCCCTAACACCACCCACATCACCCACCCTCCCTAACACCACCCACATCACCCACCCTCCCTAACACCACCCACATCACCCACCCTCCCTAACACCACCCACATCACCCACCCTACCTAACACCACCCACATCACCCACCCTCCCTAACACCACCCACATGACCCACCCTCCCTAACACCACCCACATGACCCACCCTACCTAACACCACCCACATCACCCACCCTCCCTAACACCACCCACATCACCCACCCTACCTAACACCACCCACATCACCCACACTCCCTAACACCACCCACAGGACCCACATGGTGAAATCCCGTCTCTACTAAAAATACAAAAAATTAGCTGGGCATGGTGGCGCGTGCCTGTAATCCCAGCTACTCGGGAGGCTGAGGCAGGAGAATTGCTTGAACCCAGGAGGCGGAGGTTGCGGTGAGCCGAGATCGCGCCATTGCACTCCAGCCTGGGTAACGAGTGAAACTCCGTCTCAAAAAAAAAAAAAAATAAAAATATAAAATAAATAAAAATAAAAATAAAATAACAAAATAAATAAAATAAAATAATAAAATATAAAATAAATAAAATATAACATAAAATATGAAATATAAAATAAAATGGAATCGGATAGAACAGAAATCATCTAGGTTTTCCCAGAGGATGTCCCATCTAAATACTAACCAGGCTTAACTCTGCTTCCGATCAGACCAGGTGCATTCAGAGTGGTAGAAAAAATTGGAAAGCTGGGTGAGGTGACTCCGCCTGTAATCCCAGCACTTTGGGGGTTGAGGCAGTCCAATTGCCTGAGGTCAGAAGTTTGAGACCAGCCTGGCCTATATAGCGAAACCCCATGTCTAGTAAAAATACAAAAATTAGCCGTACGTGGTGGTGGGCGCCTGTAGTCCCAGCTACTCAGGAGGCAGAAGCAGGAGAATTGCCTGAACCCAGGAGGCGGAGGTTGCCGTGAGCAGAGATCACACCACTGCACTACAGCCTGGGCAACAAGAGGGAAACTCCGTCTCAAAAAAGAAACAGAAAAAAAGTAGAAAAAAAATGTAAAAGACAAAGCAATGGAAGAAAGACAAGGTTTTCCTCCATGCAGAAGACAGTTCTCTTAACATCCCTTGAAAAACTTTGTCTTGAAGTTTCTTGAAGGTTTTCAAGAGAACCCTGTGTTTAAAAAAGAAAAAGATTTTTGTATTTTTAGGCCGGGTGTGGTGGCTCAGGCCTGTCATCCAAGCACTTTGGACGCCAAGGCGGGCGGATCACCTGAGGTCGGAAGTTCAAGACCAACCTGACCAACATGGTGAAACCCCGTCTTTAAAAAAAAAAGAAAAGAAAAAAGGAAAACAAACCTTTCTCTCTTTACTCCAAAGATTACCGTTCAGGGTGGCTTGGATAATAGGTATAACCTTCCAAGCTCCGAGCCCCGAGCGAAGCGTACGGTGAAGATGAGAACCGCTGACTTCCGCATTCTGACCTGGGGTCCCTGGAGCAGGCCCACTGAATTTGGTAAGCCCTGGGGCGTGCTGCCTGGAGGTAGGGGACATTTGTGCCGTCTGTCACCACCTTGAAGGCAGATTAGACATCGGCTACCCCGTCCCGGGTGCTGAGATTTGATCGAGAGTATCCGTAAAGGTTGGGCGCAGCAGCTCACGCCTGTAACCCCAGCACCTTGGAAGACTGAGGCGGGTGGATCATGAGATCAGGAGTTGGAGACCAGCCTAGCCCACAAGGTGAAACCCCGTCTCTACTAAAAACACAAAAATTAGCCGGGTGTGATGGCGGGCACCTGTCATCCCAGCCACTTGGCGGGCCGAGGCAGGAGACCCGCTTGAACCCGGGAGGCAGAGGTTGCAGAGACCCGAGATCATGCCACAGCACTCCAGCCTGGGCAACAGAGCAAGACTCTGTGTCAGAAAGACAGAGAGAGAGAATATGGCTAGGAATACTGTCATGCCCTCTTATTATTTCCTTTTATATAGAGACGGGCTTTCACCATGTTGGCCAGGCTGGTCTCGAACTCCTGACCTCAGATGATCTGCCCACCTTGGCCTCTCAAAGTGCTGGGATTACAGGTGTGAGCCACTGCGCTGGCCTATTTTTTTTTTTTTTTTTTGAGGTGGAATTCCTGACTGTCCCCCACCCAGGCTGGAGCAGAGTGGGAAAATCTCAGCTCCCTGCAGCCTCCGTCTCCCATGTTCTGGCGATTCTCCTGCCTCAGCCTCCCGAGTAGCTGGGATGACAGGCGTCCGCCACCGCCATGCCCGGCTGATTTTACATTTTTAGTAGAGACCGAATTTCTCCATGTTGTTCAGGCTGGTCTCGAACTCGTGACCCCAAGTGAGCTGCCCGCCCCGGCCTCCCAAAGCTCTGGATGTGAGCCACCGCGCCTGGCCCATGGTGAAGCTTGTTTTGTTTTATTTTATTATGGACTCTGTCACCCAGGAAGTGGCATGATCTCGGCTCAGTGCAACCTCCACCTCCCGGGTTCAAGCGATCCTCCTGCCTCAGCCTCCCGAGTAGCTGGGATTCCAGGAGCACTGTCATGAACACCATAACCAGCTAACTTTTGTATTTTTAGTAGACACAGGGTTTTTCCATGTTGGCCAGGCTGGTCTTGAACTCCTGACCTCGTGATCCACCCACCTCGGCTTCCCAAAGTGCTGGGATTACAGGCATGAGCCACTGCACCCCCTCCCGCCCCCCCCAAAAAAAAAGAAAAAAGAAAGTTAATTTCCTTTCCCACGTCCATCAGCGATTCACGGCAGGTGCATTCCTGTGTCTCTCTAGGGTCTGATGACGGACAGACCAGCTCCGTGCACATCTATGTGCTCTTGGTCCTCGGGACCCTGGTGTGCGCCCTGTTCCTCGGCTTCCTGTTTCAAAGGTAATCCCTGAAACACCTTGGCACCCCCCAGGCACACAGGCCGTCGTGGTGGGGGGGGCGGCACTTTCTCCAGAGTGTGTCTGTGTTTCTCAGGAACACAAAGACAGCCTGCAAAGGTCGTTCCTGGTCCCGTCACCCATCCGGGAATACGGAGAACTTACTGGGGACGCCACGCTTTTGCGGGACGTGAGATCCCCCTGGCCCCCACAGAGCTGAGCTGTGGGCACAGAGGTGGTGCCTTCATGCCCTGTGTGTCTTCTGCTCTAGGGGACGGTGCTTCCTGGCTCTCTCAGCTCCTGCGTCAGCCTCCTGAGTAGCTGGGTTGACACTCACCCGCCACCACACCCCACTAATTTTTTGTAGTTTTAGTAGAGACGGCGTTTCATCATGTTGGTGAGGCTGGTCTCGATCTCCGACCTCAGCTGATCCTCCCGCCTCGGCCTCCCACAGTGCTGGGATGACAGGCCTGAGCCACCACTCCTGGCCAAGATTTTCATCCCTTGGTGATTCTCAGTGACGTTGTTTTGGGTCGTTGAACTCAGCATCCTGAGGAAGGCACTCTGACGGCCTGGGGCGCCCTTCACACTTCCTCTCTGTCCCTCAGGTGTGTCCAGATGCAACGACTCTTCCCCCCAGTTCCAAAAATCAAAGACAAACTCAACGATGAGAATCAGGTGGAGGACCAGGTAGGTAGGGGTGGGCGGAGCGGACAGCTGGGATGGAAAGCCAGGGAACGCGGACACGGGGACACGGGTTCTGAGTGTCAGCCGCCCTGCTTCTCCACCAGCTGGGACTTCAGCGTCACCACGGGGTGTGGCTGGAATCTGTATCCAGCTCCTGGACCTTCCACCTGGGTTCGGGTCAGGGTGTCGTCAGGTCGAGGTCAGCGTTTTCTCTGTGAGCTCCATCAGGAGAAACTGAGGCGGGTGGTGGTCAAGAAAAGGAGGAGAAGAAGGTAGACTGGTCTGGGTGCGGTGGCTCATGCCCCTAATCCCAGCACTTTGGAGCCTGAGGCGGCTGGATCACCTGAAGTCAGGGGTTTGAGACCAGCCTGGCCAACACGGTGAAACCCCGTCTCTACTAAAAATACAAAGTTAGCTGGGCGTGGTGGCGGGCGCCTGTAATCTCAGCTACTCGGGAGGCTGAGGCAGGAGGATGGCTTGAACCCAGAAGGCGGAGGTTGCGGTGAGCCGAGATCATGCCACTGCACTCCAGCCTGCGCAACAGAGTGAGAGTCTGTCTCAAAACAAAAGCAAACAACCTCTTCTCCAGAAAACCTCAGCTTTTACCATTTAGACCTTTGACTGATTAGATGAGGCCCACATTTTCCTCTTTAGAACTTTCAGCTGATTAGATGCGGCCCACCCTCATCCCTTAGCCCTTCTACTGATTAGATGCGGCCCACCCTCCCCCTTGGATCTTCAGCTGATTAGATGCGGCCCACCCTCCCCCTTGGCTTTTCAGCTGATTAGATGCAGCCCACCCTCCCCCTTGGATCTTCAGCTGATTAGATGCGGCCCACCTGCATCCTCGGCCATCTGTCATTCTGTTACCTTCCACCCCCACGCTAGCTTCCTCCCCGGATCCCGCTTTCCACTGACTCCCAGGGGTCCCCCACCTAGCCCAAGGCAACCCTGTTCATCGCCAACCATGAGATCACACAGGTGCATGCGTCTCAGATCTTCACCCCAGGAAAAACACCACCCCACGACTGGGCGCTGTGGCTCACGCCTGTCGTCCCAGCACTTTGTGAGGCCGAGGTGGGGGAATCACCTTGAGGTCAGGAGTTCAAGACCAGCCTGGCCAACAGACTGAAATGCCATCTCTACTGAAAATACGAAAGTTACCCGGGTACGGTGGTGGGCGTCTGTCATCCCAGCTACTTGGGAGGCTGAGGCAGGAGGATCGCTTGAACCCGGGAGGTGGAGGCTGCAGTGATCCTCCTTTTTTTTTCAGATCATCTGGGAGGAATTCCCGGCAGAGGAAGGGAAGGTGTACCGCGAAGAGATATTGACGGTGAAAGAAGTTGCATGAGGCTCAGAGGGTGTGGAAAGAGCAGCACGTCTCCGTCCCCAAGACATTCAGAAACTGTATTTTCGTTCATGGTGCTGTCAACCTTAATGTCATTTTCTGTGGTTTTGTTTTGTTTTGTCTTTGAGACGGAGTTGAGGTCTGTCCCCCAGGCTGAAGGGCAGTGGCGCAATCTCAGCCCACCCCACCGCAACCTCCGCCCCCCGGGTTCCAGCCATTCTCCGGCCTCAGCCTCCCGAGTAGCTGGGATGACAGGCACCCACCACCACGCCTGGCTAATTTTTGTATTTTTAGTAGAGACGGGGTTTCACCATGTTGGCCAGGCTGCTCTCGAACTCCTGACTTCTGGATCCACCCGCCTCGGCCTCCCGAAGTGCTGGCATGCAGGCGTGAGCCAATGCGCCCGGCATATATTTTTATTTAAAAATAAGATGCTTGTGGCCAGGCATGCTGGCTCACGCCTGCAATCCCAGCACGTTGGGAGGCCAAGGCAGGTGGATCCCCTGGGGTCAGGAGTTCGAGACCAGCCTGGCCAACACGGTGAAACCTCGTCTCTCCTAAAAATACAAAAATCAGCCAGGCGTGGTGGCGGGCGCCTGTCATCCCAGCTACTCAGGAGGCTGAGGCAGGAGAATCTCTTGAACCCGAGGTATGGAGGTTGCAGTGAATCGAGCTCACGCCCCTGCACTCCAGCGTGGGCGACAGAGCAAAACTCCATCTCAAAAAAAAGGGCACGCAGAGACAGGTCCTTAATATGACAGAGGTTCCCCGAAGGCAATGGAGGTCAGGCCTCCCCTACGTCCTCTGCCAGCCAAGGACCATCTCCAAGGGATGCATAACAGAGACCTTCACTCCTTTTTCACGCCTAAACTGGAGAAGATGGTTTATAAGATGCTTTCAGGTGGGATTCGCACTGGGGGGACGGGGGGCTAGAGGATCCCCTGTGTGGGATCAGGTCTGTGCAGCTGGAGGAAGGGAGGGAAGCAGGAAAGATTCCATCGCGAGGCTGGGTGCGGTGAAAACATATCTCAAAAATAAATTAAATAAATATATATATATATGGTAGCCGGGCATGGTGGCTCACCTGTCATCCCAGCAGTTTGGGAGGCAGAGGCGGGCGGATCACCTGAGGTCGGGAGTTCGAGACCAGCCTGAGCAACATGAGAAACCCTGTCTTAAAAAAAAAGTACATGATATAGGTAGATGACAGAATGACAGATAGGTGATTGATGGATGATAATTGGTAGAGGACAGATGAAAAATGATTAAGTGAAGAAGTGACAGATGGATACGTCATAGATGATTGACTCATGTGATTGATGACTGAGGGATGATTGATAGGTGATTATTGGTAGATGACAGATGAAAAATGATAAATGAAGAAGTGACAGATGGATACGTTATAGGTGATTGACTACTTGATTGATGACTGAGGGATGATTGATAGGTGATAATTGGTAGGCGACAGATGAAAAATGATAAATGAAGAAGTGACAGATGGATACATAATACATGATTGACTAGTTGATTGATGACTGATGGATGATTGATAGGTGATAATTGGTAGAAGGCAGATGAAAAATATATATGATAGATGAACAGAGGATAGAAATACGGGCGATGGAACGTAGTTAGACAGGTGATTGATGCATATTTGATAAATACACGATGGATGAACTTTATTTTATTTTAGCATTTTATTTTGTTTGTTTTATGAGATGGAGTCTCATTCTGTGGCCCAGGCTGGAGTTCCGTGGCAGGATCTCAGCTCACTGCAACCTCCGCCTCCCGGGTTCAAGCAATTGTCCTGCCTTAGCCTCCAGGGCAGCTGGGATTATAGGTGCCCGCCACCACCCCAGCCAGTTCGTAATGTTTTTGGTAGAGATGGGGTTTCTCCATGTTGGCCAGGCTGGTCTCGAACTCCTGACCTCAAGGGATCCGCCCACGTCAGCTGTCCCAACGTGGAGGGATTACAGGGGTGAGCCACCTCACGAGGCATTGATGGGTGAATTTTAGATACATGAAGACACAGACAGATAGATAGATAGATAGATAGATAGATAGATAGATATGTAGATAGAGAAATAGGTAGTTAGGTAGATACATAGATAGATAGATGATAGGTAGATAGATGATAGATACATAATAGACAGATTATAGATAGATAGGTAGAATCAGGTAGATGATAGATAGATACATGATAGGTAGATAGGTGATAGATAGTTAGAGGGATGGACAGATGGATAGATAGATTGGATGGATGGATGGATGGATGAACAGACAGGTAGCTAGCTAGATACATAGATAGACAGATAAATAGATAGGTAGGTAGAATCAGATAGGTGATAGATTAGATAGATAGATGATAGATAGAATCAGACAGATGATAGATGATAGGTAGATAGATGATACGTAGATAGATGGATGGACAGATGGATGGATAGATAGATAGATAGATAGATAGATAGATAGATAGATAGACCAGTAGAATCAGATAGGTGATAGATAGATGATTGATAGATAGATAGATAGATAGATAGACCAGTAGAATCAGATAGGTGATAGATAGATGATAGATAGATAGATAGATAGATAGATAGATAGATAGATAGATAGATACATAACATACATACATACATACATACATAGATTGGATGAATGGATGGATGGGTGGATGGATGAACAGATAGCTACATAGATAGATAGAGAGACAGACAAGCAGACAGACAGACAGACAGACAGACAGGTAGAATCAGATAGGTGATAGATGATAGATAGATAGATACATGGATGGATGGATGGATGATAGATAGATACATAGATAGATAGACAGGTAGGTAGAATCAGATAGGTGATCGATAGATGATAGGTAGATAGAATCAGATAGATGATAGATGGATGGATGGATGCACAGACAAAGCAGGTACATAGATAAATAGGTAGAATCGGATAGGTGATAGATGATAGATAGTAGGTAGGTAGGTAGGTAGATAAATAGGTAGATAGATAGATAGATGATAGATAGATAGTAGGTAGGTAGGTAGGTAGGTAGATAAATAGATAGGTAGATAGATAGATAGATAGATTGGGTCTATCTGCTATTTCTCAGGCTCCCTCCTGGAAGTCAGAACTGATGTCACTTGCTCCAAGGCCCCCACCTTAAACCACGCTGTTAGACCGTGAAGAGCCCAAAGCCCCCAAGGCAGCAAAGACAGTCCCAGGGGCCATTCCAGGACTGAGAGGTCAGCGCCCTCCAGCCGAGAGCCAAGGGCGGACGTCCCTTTGGGGAAGGCTGGGTGTTGGGTGTTCGGCGTCTACCAAGGCTGAGAAGGAAGGGGTGTCCTGGAAACGGGCTTGGCCGGAGAAGACCCACAGTGATCCACGTTCAGCCCCGGCCCATCCACGCGGGAGGGAACACGGGGGTCCCGGGTGTTCCATCGCCTGCAGCCTCACGAGTGACCTCGGCAGCGTCCGTCATCCTGTTGAGTCACGCCACGCTCCCCAGCTCCCCTCATTCTGCCTTCCTGCGGGGGTGAGGGGGCAGGACTCTTTCCCCGCCAACAGTTTGCTGAAAAATCCAGAAAGAACCAGACGGATTCCTAAGAGACAAGGCAGGCACTTTTATTTATTTATTCATTTTTGAGACGGAGTTTCGCTCTCGGCGCCCAGGCTGGAGTGCGATGGCCTGATCTCTGCTCACTGCAGCCTCCACGTCCTGGGGTGAAGCGATTCTCCTGCCTCAGTCTCCCGAACAGCTGGGATGACAGGTGCATGACAGCGCACCCGGCTAATTTCTGTAGTTTTAGTAGAGACGGGCTTTTTTTTCATGTTGGCCAGGCTGGTCTCGAACCCCTGACCTCATGATCCACCCGCCTCAGCCTTCCAAAGTGCTGGGATGACAGACGTGAGCCACCACGCTGGGCCAGGTGTCCTCCTAAAACACACAGAGGAGGTGCAGACACAGAGGAGGAGGCCACGTGGAGATGGAGGCAGACGCTGGAGCGATGGGGCCACAATCCAAGGGATGCTGGAGCCCCCAGGAGCCAGGAGAGGCAAGAGCATCCTCCTCTAGACTCTCCAGAGGGAACTGGATACAATTAAAGTGGGTTGAACTATGGCACTTCCCAAAAGATATGTTCATGTTCTACCCAAGAACGTGTGAATGGAGGTGGAGGCTGCAGTGATGGGGCCACAAGCCCAGGGATGCTGGAGCACCCAGGAGCTGGAGAGGCAGGAAGGACCCTCCCCTAGACCCTCCAGAGGGAACTGGATACAATTAAAGTGGGTTGAACGATGGCACTTCCCAAAAGATATGTTCATGTTCTACCCAAGAACGTGTGAATGGAGGTGGAGGCTGCAGTGATGGGGCCACAAGCCCAGGGATGCTGGAGCACCCAGGAGCTGGAGAGGCAGGAAGGACCCTCCCCTAGACCCTCCAGAGGGAACTGGATACAACTGAAGTGGACTGAACGATGGCACTTCCCAAAACATATGTTCATATTCTAACCCAATAACCTGTGAACGGACGTGGAGGCTGCAGTGATGGGGCCGCAAGCCCAGGGATGCTGGAGCCCCCGGGAGCTGGGAGAGTCAGGAAGCCTTGTCCCCAGGAGCCTCTGGAAGGAACACAGCCCTGAGACACCTGAACCTCAGCCTTCTGGTCTGCAAGACTATGAAAAAAACAATTCCCGGCTGGGCAGGGTGAATCACGTCTGTCATCCCAGCACTTTGGGAGGTCAAGGCGGGGGGATTGCTTAAGGTCAGGAGTTTGAGACCAGCCTGACCAACACGGCAAAACCTCGTCTCTACTAAAAATACAGAAATTAGCTGGGCTTAGTGGCGGGCGCCTGTAATAACAGCTCGGAAGGCTGAGGCAGGAGAATCGCTGGAACCTGGGAGGCAGAGGTGTCAGTGAGCCAAGATCGCGCCACTGCACTCCAGGCTGAGCAATGACAGCGAAACTCAATCTAAAAAAAAAGTCATAACAAGATTTATAAATAATTAATAAAAATAAAAATAAAATGTATTACAAGCTTTTTAAAAATATAGAATTTCTAAGTCAAATTTTGTTATACATTTTAAAATAGAGTTTTATTATAAAGTTTATAAATTTTAGCATACACTTTAAAATAAAATTTTATAATG